TGCAGTCCTCCATATATTATTTTGCCAGGTAGGTAACCATAACTGTACAAGACAGTATGTGTATGTAAGTATATTATGTAAGTGGAGCCCCTTCATTTCTCTCTTTTGTAAATTGATTGTATCGGACACCAGTGTATTGTATGGAGCATCTTACTCTATTCTTGTGTAAAAATGTAGACATCGTTCTTACACTTGCAAACAATTCTATTTCTTTTTTTTTGTTTTTTTCGAAGAGTGCGAGAAAGAGTTAGGCATTACAATACAAACCTCATTTTACAATGTAACTTTATGTGCCTGTTAACGTTTTTGAATGTTGCAAATATGCTTTTGGGTTTACTTCAAAGACAAGGAACTTTTCAATACGACATTCCTTTTTTTTGTATAAATTTTGTATAAACGGATTTTAATGTTTTTGTTGTAATTAAATTGGTTCAAGATGAGATTATGTCCATTTAAATAAAAAGCAACAATATTCCACCACAAAAAATGAAGAAGACGAATTTAGCTTGTTAACTTCGATCAACAATTGTTATTGTTGCTATTGTTGATCGAAGCTTGTTAAAATTTATATCTAAATCATGTTTACACACATAGGCACATCGAAGTCGGTGATTTTTTTTTTAAACCTTATTGTTATTTTCATATCAGAATGAGGGCCACAGTGTGTCTATGGCATGAACTAGCATTTTTCTGCAATTTTCTATTCGTCTGTCCTAACGGCGAGCTATTTGAGCCAGCTGCACTACAAACACAATTAGGCTGACATTTTATTTTTAAACTGTTAGAGAACTAGATTAGATTAACACGGTTGTATAATTCTATTTTGAGACCATCTCTTAGTGTGTGTGACATTCATGTATTTTAGGATTTTAGAACCTCTCTGATTTTTTTTATATGCAGTTGTAATAAACATTAGACTACACAACTCCAACAAACAAAACAATTCAAATTAAATCAACAGTTATTTCTGAATAACAATACCTACATTTTTTGTCCAAATGACCATATTCTACATACATAAGCTTACAAACAGGACTCCTTTTTGGACCAGCGTGTTTATGAAATAAATATTGTTCTAACGTTAAGATTTATAACCCATTCATATTTAGAAACGACATTCTAATATTTTAGTTGTTTTAAGTAAATAGGATCAGTAGGGTCACTAGAGCCCAGGAGCTGAGCTAACCATTATTAATAGACACATCATGGAGAGTTGCATTTTACCCTCAGGTAGTTCGATTTTTTTTATACACAATACATCCAAGTTAATTTTGTCAGATCCAAGATTAAATTTTCTAAACAGCAATTTCAAATTAAGAAAGCTTCATAGAATGGTCACCATCAGATGCCGTTGCAAATGTATTTGTGAATTAGATACAATGTACTCTACCGGTGCCGTTATTTTTTATGTTAGTATGTTAAATTGTCAATTAAATATGAAAACAAATTGTGGTACAAGCGTCATGTTGTAAAAAGTAAAGGCACGAAAGAGGATTCATATACCTACTTGTTGTACATACAGATGACAAGCATACATTTGTGTTTTATACAATAATTTCTTATGTAATAGAGAATTCGCGATGCGGATGTATTTCACGATAACAATTATTTTGAAATTATGCACTTACTTTTTGATTTTAGAGTTATGTAATTCTGATAAATACTTCCGTATCTACTCAATACAATAAGTATTTATATATATAAACACTTTTTTAGCACTTCACGCTATGCCAACAGAACAGAACAGGAGCAGAACATTAACAATAAACGCTAAGTTATATGGCAGGACGAGTTTCATTATACAACATTTTATGGCACCAGAAACTACATCATTCCAAAAAAAAACTGGTCTATTCTATTAGCAATATTCGTCTTAAACTCTCGAAACTTTTGGTGAAAGAGTATGCAAACAAGGTATTAAAATAACTTCTGAAGTTTAAAAGATACAAAACCTGATCACGGATCATAGCAGACACTGCAAAATTGGACAATCATGTATTTAATCTAAAGTTCAACCCACAAGTTCACAAACAATTCATAAGTTCTGCCAGTTTTCAGAAGCCCTAAGTCTGAACAGCGAACTGAAAAGCAAGTGTGCACTACTAAAGATCGGACATCGTCAATGTAGCATAACCAATTTTTTTTGTATACAGGGTGGAAAATCGGATCTCCGGCTCCTAGGGGAAGGAGACAGGAGTATGTGGTGTTTCCACTAAAAACCACCCCGACGACGGCCAGCCTTAGTCGCCCTACTCAGGACCCGGACCATGTGGTTTCAGGTCCCCCTCGGAACGCCGCTGCACCTATTGTGCCCTTGGGGCCCGATCGCATTTAGGTGCAATCAAGCAGCCAATATATTCCTTACCACAGTAATCAATCTACCACCAGAGGTCCCCACTCTCTGCCATCCCACCGTCCCTACGGTCTTCTTCGTTCGGGATCGGCCCTCTCCCAATCCCGTTCAGCGGTCTCTTTCTGGAGCATAACAGCTTCACGAAAGAGACCACTGCTCCCCAGCCCTACTCACTCGCCAGCATGGCAGCAATGATTGCTGGCGGGGACAGGTCTCAGCCAGGAGGAGCAGGAACGTGAGGTACTGGTCGTCCGATTTGGTCGACCAGTACCTCACGTTCAGACGCCCACGCGGGGCAGTATTCCACCGTAAGATGGGCGGAGTACCAATCGGCTGCGCAGTGCTGGCATTGTGCCGATCCGATCCGATTCAGTTACTCACCGCAGCAACCATGCCCAGTGAGTACCTGTGCCATACGGACCATAATCATAAATAATAACAAATAGTCTATTTTCAAGACAATGCAATTTAAGTGTAAATCTATGCAAATATAGGATGTAGGTATCAATATAGATGGTCATGTGTAATATGTAATATCCTGAATAATTATGCTAAAATACAATAATCAAAACAATACGTAGGTAACGCGATTATTATGTAGATGTTCTCTTAGATTATATCGTTAAATAATTTATACAAATGATATCGTGAATAAAGCTACACACATCTGCATTCTTAGTTCGAGTTCCCAAATGTTTAAAACGTTAATTTGCGAACAAAACGCTCATACAAAAATCATTTAAACAGGTGAAAGACATTGTTTACATTCACATCACATAATTTTACAAACTGATACGGAGAAAATATCGATTCAAAAGCAAAATTAGAGTACACCCAGCAGGAGAGTGATAAATCTCATGTTAAATGGAATTAAAAATTAGGTTTCAATTTAATTTAATTTTTTTTTACAACAAGGAACTCAAAATGAGTATTGCTAACAGTTAAGAGATATTTTTGCGAATAATAAAAGTAAATTCTTGGTTATATTCATCTGTATCTCAAAGTTCAGTAACGATAATGACCAGTGATTATGTTAGAATGGATTGTCTTTCACAAAATTGTAAAAGTTGTCTAGTGAAAGGTGTACTTTGGTTTTAAAACTGTGATATTACATTGTTAACATAGAGTGACTCATTTTTCTCACGCAACGAATGTTGTTTTTTTAAAGTGGTATGATGAGTTGAGAAGTCATAGAAATTCTTAGTTTAATACATACTTTTACATTTAATACATACCACAAGTGACAAATTTTCCTGTGTTAGTAATATAAAATTCTGTTCTAGAGAACACATAAATAGGTATTCTTAGTACCATTACAATCTCTAAAATGTTATTTTTTACACATCGTTCAGATATGTACGTATATACATACACTCACGTTTTTTTTCCCGAAGGGTTGGGGCTGAGGCGTATTAAACGCTCACATATATGTAGGTATAATAATACAAAAATAAATCTGACCTAGTTAATTAATCACCAACGGTCATTCCCCCAGGCCGCACCTGCGATTCACGTTAAATTAATTCACACTAATGTTTTTAGTAATGAACTTTCCCAACAGTTTTGTCCTTGTGGTTGTCGATTCGGAGGTTCTTGTATTCTAAGGCGTTACCTTAATCATTCATCAAATCCCTATATTTAATCTTAAAGCATCAATTCATGACAAATTCTCTTTTTTTATATTTTTTTGCATGTTAGGCGGATCAGAAGAATCAAATAAATGGGTTAAACAATTTAGTTAAACGTTACCTTTATAAACTAAATGATACGTATGCATGCAGATCTTCAGCTGACCGTTTATGTTCCGTTCGGACCCTATTTTTCATTCTTATTCTTATTCTCGCGAAATACATAAAAGTAACACATAGTTTTTGCATATAAAATGTAATGTTACCTGGAAACATAATAAACCCATGGTATCGAAATATTTCACCGACCAACAATCCCTATCAGTGAAATATTTCGATTGAATACCATGATTTTGTGATTAGGTTAAGATTAGGTCGAGAAAAGGTTATTATTAGACTTGCAACGAATAGTATATTCGGCAGTATACCGAATACCGAATATTCGGCGAGGCCCCTGACCGAATAGCCGAATATTAGGCAAAAGTATTCGGCTGGATTTTAGCGCCAAAAACTTGTACAGACGTGAATTAAATTATGTACCTGTTTTATCTACCAATGACTACTTAATAAATGATTATAAAAGAAATGAGAACCTTACCCTTCTGAATTTTGATTACCACAATAATTCAAATACATAGAATCCTCCATTTTTCCAATTCAGAAGATGATTATGTACCTGTGTTATGCACCAATGACTACTTAAATGATTATAACAGAAATGAAAATATGAATATATACGTAATCAATCGATTTTAATTTTTCATTTTACCAATTATTTCTCAATGACAAAATATGTTATTTAAGTATTAGGTATTCGGCCGAATAATATGTAGATATTCGGTATTCGGCCGAATATAATAAAAGCAGCCGAATAGGCCGAATACCGAATAGTAACCGAATAATCGTTGCAAGTCTAGTTATTATTAATAGGCAGACACACACGTAATTTTTTAAAATATAAACACAAGATGTAAATTGTACGTAACTATAATGTATTCGATTTTGTTTTTGGTACTTACCAGGTACCTCGTGCACTTTGGTACGTGGGTCTCTATTAGCAAATAGATAAGCGGTCTTCGTTCCAAACATCAGGTAAGGATCGTCTTGCACGGAGAGACAGCTCTCCTGCGCTGCGGCTACACCCAGCGCCAGTAGGAGGGGCAACCAAACCATTTTCTATAAGGTACAAAATTTTTAATCTTCTCTTTTTGAATCATTTAATGATTTAATAAAAGTAAGTAAATAAATCTGTTTGTTTTTGTTATTCTTTTTAATAATATATTTATTTTTAGGTTAGTTTTTAAGCTAAGGCTAGTCTTACAAGCATTTATACTTGGAATAAGATAATAATCTTCTGTTATACCTAGTACAAATTTTTGAAACACAGCGTACCGATCATATGTTTTGTGAGTTCTGCTCATTCTAATACTCTTTTCGCAATATCAAATCTTTGTGGCCCTTTTAATTAAAGAGAAATGTCTACATAACGTACCTTAGTATACTCGTATAGTACTACCAGTACATTATTTCATCAATTGTAAATAGGTACACAAATAAGACACCCCCGGTATTTTAAAGTGGTTGAGTATTGTAGTCATTTAATGGATGTCGTTATTTTCCATTCATGGAATTGTGTCTAGCATTCAGCATCGCTTAGTTGAATAAGATTAATCAAATACTTAGTTTTATCGTTTCAATGCTTATAACACCAATATGAATACTTACAGCTTGTGATATCATTCATTTATTAGTTAAAAATATCTGTAGATCTATTTTAAGATATTATGATCAGCGATGTTTTTTGTGCTCCCAAAAACTTGATTTACTAGTCACAGATACCTGGTTTAAGATACCATTCATTCCGTACAGGTCTCCTCAACCATTATGGTTAGTTAATGTTCGTGTTTAAAAAGAAAAATTCAAAGTGTAACCACGGTACTATTATAATACAGTATTGTAACTCGGCCGCATGATAGAAATAAATGCCTACAGCCGCGCGGTACGTAAACATGCGTTAGGGCTGCCCGTCTCCAGCATTTTAGTGATATTTGCCTACTTTCTGTTTCTATTTAGATTTGTGATTGTAAATATCCTTTTTATATAAATAAATGAAATACTTTGTATATTGAATAGGAATTGTTCAATAAAAATGCGTGTTGTTTTTTGATTGGTAGATTTAATTAAAAAACATTTTTTTGTTTGAAAAACCAATCGGGCTTATAAATTAGCGACCGAAAAAAATCCTTCTATAAAATAAAATAAATGTGCTTTCTCCATACGCGTTACAAAACTCCAATCCTTAGAAACTCCAACACCTACCACCTACTCAACTAGAATGCAAGAAACAGCTGACGAGTAAGTAACTTTTTATCTCAGCTAATTAACGTCTCTACAAATTACCTAACCTATAACCTACAACTCGCAACAACTCAAAACAAAAATTCTTTGGTCACCAATTAATTAATCATTAAAAAGCTGAACAGCTGACTACGAATGTTTTAAAATCACAACCCTCAAACATCTAAATATTATATATGAGTCTAGCTGTTGTTGTTAATACCGAGAAAATAAAACCAGTTTTTAGTGGTATATGTTGTTATAGTAGCAGCAGAAACACTTTGTGAAAATTTCGAAAACTGTCTAATGACACACAGACGGTAACAAATTTTTTTTAGTATTATTCATACACACAGATAATAAAGATATATTATTAATAATAAAATACCACGTCTTTAAGTAGAATTTTCTTTTTTTTTAATTATGCAAAGTAACAAAACAAACATGCACCGAAGTTTTAACACAAGCGTAAGTAGGTAGGTACCTACCGTATCATGATTCATTCAGAACCGCATGTAACTCCCTATTTCACTCGTCTCAATAACTTTCCGTTACTCTATTTGCTTTATTTATTCATCCAAACACCTTTTTTTTCGTGAGATAAAAGGAAATACTTATCCATTAAAAAGACACACATTATGTACCTACGTACTAGTAAGTAAAATTATTTTATAGTCTTACTTTTCAGAGTTTCCAGGTAATTTAAAAAAACTTATGTCTGGATGCGTTATTGACGAATTCATACAACCAAAAACAGCACAATATTTCCTACTCGTCATATTAACTGATTTTTAGAGAAAAAATCGCGCGGTTATTGTTAAAAAAACAACACGCAGTCCGTTCGACACTGCGGTACAGCCGTGACTGTCTGCGCCCCGAGCGCACCCCGAGATCGAGGCGCGTAGGTATAGCTCCCGTTTCGTCCGTTTGTATGAAGTTGCAGTACTGTATTATAATAGTACCGTGGTGTAACTTTGTCTATTATTGACAACTAGCTGACCGGCGCAACTTCGTCTGCGTCTCTCAATAGTAATAAATTTTCTCCGTTTTTGAAACATTCTTTATTGGTGCTCCGCTCCTATTGGTCTTAGCGTGATGATATATAGCCTATAGCCTTCCTCGATAAATGGGCTATCTAACACTGAAAGAATTTTTCAAATCGGACCAGTAGTTCCTGAGATTATCGCGTTCAAACAAACAAACAAACAAACAAACAAACAAACTCTTCAGCTTTATAATATTAGTATAGATTAAACGGTATAAATGCGATATTATAATTATAGACTTACTTTTTTTTATAATTCTACACTAGAAATAGTAAATTTATTTTACGAACATTACAGATAATTATTTTCATCTATTATAAATAACTTACTATAACTTTACGATGTTGCTGCAGTCACCGATTGATGGAATATTATTGTGAGAAAAACAAATATGAACCTCACTTGTTCAACTTTAAGCAAACAAATAACAAAACCAGCACAATGGGCGGAACTTAAACTAATGTGGGCCGCATGAATGACACTTCACAAAAAACAACAATTTTACACGAATTAGGTAATTAACTTTCGCCAGTCGATGGTTACCTTTGCGCGGGAAGAATCGGGATAGAATACAAAGTATAGTCTGTGGTTAAAAACGCGGGAAACGCGGCGACTCGCAGTGACGATTGCGGTGATACTGAGGTATTGGTAGTACTACTAACGCAACTGGGGCTTGGTCCTCGATATTCTTTTTAAACGCATGCTTACCTCAGAAATGTGGTTCCACCTCGTGTGCTAAACCTCTGTACATTGTCAGTTTTCTTACATAAATTTACGCCAACTTGGAACTTAAAATAATGTTATGAAAGCTCTATATAGGTACACACTAGCTCACGAATACACCTACTTGAGAACTTATATGCATAATAAAACACAATAGGTATGCATATTTTACATAGATTTACACATTATTTACCACAAATCATGTATTAAATTATAATATTATATACCTATGAAGCCAGCTTACCTGTTGTAATCACATTTAATATGCAAAAAGGTAGAGATATTGCTACCTCTACACGTTGACAATATGTACTAGTTTTTTTAAATATGATTCCGTTCTGAGATAGTGTTTTATTTCAGAGGATTTACAATCTATTTAGTTTTGTAATGAATAGCTGGTGCGGAACAAACAAACAGACAGACAAAAGGTATTTACTCGTAAAATGGTTTTGAGGCAGAATAGTGCAGTAGGTGACAATAAAATATCTATTATTTTCAAATTACAAACAGGAAATACCATTTTATTTATTTGTATAGATTATATGCCATGATGCAACTTGAGTTTCACATATTATTTCTAGATCAGATAAAAATTGAAAACTGAAAATGACGAGGGAGATCAATGCTTTGGCACATGTAGTTCGGCTCGACTAGAGTGACATTACGGCCTCACAGGATACTTGCTTTTCAACGAGTAAGTGAGATTAGCCGAGACCCAACCTCCCCCCTCGCCCCTAATTTCGGGGAGGAGAGAGATACTTGTGTGTTACCGCCATTTGGGGACACAAGTATCTCCCGAGTTGCAGGTTTCTATGTGCGGCGGTTGTCACTTGCCATCAGATGACCCGGCTTTTATTATATAAAAGCTAATTGCCATAAGTATGTTCCTAAAGTTGTTTGGTCATAACATGCAGAGAATAAAATACCATATGGTGTAGACTAATATTTGTAAACATGTGAATAATTTAAAAAAAATTGAAGAAAACGGGAAATTCCATTGCGTGGGCTGTTGTAGGTACATAGCTGATCTCAAATAGTATCACGCACATGCGCAGTAAGAATGACATCACTGTGGGTGCTAAGAAAAACTACTTTGATAGGTGTTTTATAATACACACATCTGTATAGACCTACGAGTCTTTGCTAACTGAGAACATATACAATAATTTTATAATAAGAAACAGGGACAGAAAAAAATAGCCTATTCGAACACTACCTAATAAAAAAAAATGGTACAAATCAATGATATATAAATTGCAATCTCATCGCTAGTTACCATTTCTTATCATAGACAACCTTTATGAACTACTTTTGGTATTGATTGGATAACACGGTATCCGAATGAAATAAAATAAAAAAGACGTTTTGATATTTTCTATAATTTTGAAAGAAGCAGAAAGCTACTTATAGTGCGATTGTCATAAAGCTTAAGCTTTACAAATAATTATAACGAGTTACATATTAATGTTTTGATGATTATCCATATATATTTGTGATCAGGTGCCGTTTATAAGATTTTGCACTATAAAAGTTTGGAGAGCAATTTATTTTCAAAGATAAACTTTAACTGCAAGGCTTTTGGTACACTTAAATTTTCTTAACAAGTTCTGGAAAGGGATATAAGCCTAAAGGTTATGTTGCATTAACATACACTATTATAAAGCATTGCAGTACAGCTTATTGTATAGATCTGAATATCGATTTTGGGGATAAAACATTTAGTGAAAGTTGCTTGAGTTCAGAGTTTACCTAGCCAGTAAACAAAATGTCTGCAAGAAAATGACGTAAACCGTACGACCTATTTTCCGCTCATTTGTCTAACTATTGAATCATTACCTAACAGAAAATAATCAAGTGGGAATATTTTTCTTTACGCATTTTATTGTATCTACAACTAATATTACTGTAATAATGACTTGAGACTCGTCTCACACATGGATGTCTAATCCCAAACTAGACAGACATGTACCTACTCTATTAACTAGACTTATATGTTTTAAACACATAGTTAAATCGTATCCAGACATAAAACCAATCACACAATTTTATCTGGGTGCGAATCGAACCCACGAGCTCTGGGTTAGTAGGAAGTGCCACTAAACACTAGAGAGATTAACAGGCCCATCGAATATAGACGGTATTGTCTGTAATGTATATTTTATAATGAGAAAATGATTATTATTTGTAGAAATATAATATAAATACTCGTTATAATTATAATACCAAAAGAAGTTCATCATACCAGTGTAGCAATTTCTGTTCAGAGTTGATAACTTGTTGTTTTCTGGCAGAGTTTTTTCTTTCTCTTTAATGTTGAATCTGAATAAAAATATTTAAGAACGCACTCTTAAATACTATATAACTAAGAGTGGTTTCTTACACATTTTTATTTACATCGGCGATCTTATGAATGTAGTTTACCTATCAACCTTTTCGATTGATGCAATTTACTTACATAATAATTATTTTAAAACACTAATTACTTACAATTACTTACACTTACAATTACTTGCTGTGTCTATTGTTATCTGTGGCACCTGGGCCTTTTGCAACGTTCGTCTTCCTACTGGCTCTAACCTAAAATATTACATAACGATTCCGCGGGTAGTTTTAGACGTGATCATCAATCTACGTTTATTCCCGTCCTGTCCGAAGGTAAATAATAAAATGTGTACTCGCTCGCACCACAGGATGACGTTAATACCTGTACCTCGTAAAACGTAATGTCCGCTTCATAATGAACACGGCACCTATGATCACGTAACCTTTGAATATATTAAAAATCTAATATAAGAGACACAAATGTTAATGATTAACAGACAACAAAGGAAAGCAGGATTTTAAACTCTTTACTCATCATGGTCATCATGTAGGCACTCTTTTTTTATAGACTGATCCCCCAAATACATCCACCACGGTAACTCCTGTACACCTGGATCAACACAGTAACATACGGACATACCGAGGATTGACACTCGAAAAGTTTCAGGAACAGTTAAACTGTCATGGAACCCGCTACAAAATTAATCAATTAATCAGAAGTAAATTGAAGTGGTTCGAAATATAAATAACCTACTGTAGGTACACTTGTCTGATAAGCTTTATATATGAAGTTTCAGATCCCATATCCTTCATGACGTTAAATATTGGAAGCCTATGAACGTCAACAGGAGTGCCTCATCTTTGTTTAGTTTACTAGTTTTAATCGAAAAACACCAAGAAAAAAAAACAAACAACTGAATTAATATAATGGGTATGCGAGTCCGACAATTTTGCAATTAAGTGCCGTTAGTACCCAATTGTTTTGTGCTATCAAGAGTTTATCTATCTTGCAGAAGGTTTCTTAATAATGACAAGTGATAAAATTGACGTTAATAACATAATATATTAAAAGTAATAAAGGTACTCGGTGATGAAAATCTGTGTAGTCGACCTCATTGACGACCTCATTTGACGGGCCTGTTGGTCTAGTGGTTAGTGACCCTGACTGCTAAGCCGGAGGTCGTGGGTTCGATTCCCACCCAGGACAAATATTGTGTGATGAGCACGATCATTTGTTCTGTGTCTGGGTGTTATTTATCTATAATATGTATGTATTTAAAAATATATAAGTATGTTTATCAGCAGTCTGGTTACAGTACAGGCTCTGCCTAGTTTGGGATCAGACTGCCGTGTGTGAGATGTGTGAAGTTATTATTATTATTATTATTATTATTGAAGCTTGTAGAAAGTGGCGAACTTATATGCTCTCGAGCTTGGAGATAACAGTTATGAAATGGCTTGATAAGAGGATTATGAATGCCTCACTAGCGTTTGCTATTTATAGCTTGTGTAAGATGTTGGTTCATATGGTATGGAAATACTCAGTTTCTATTATAGCTATGGTAAGTTTTTATAAGAATGATAATGTGTGACCTCCATGACTAAGATTTTAATTTTTTGCTTTTATATGTATATGTATCATACGTATGTAATATAATGCATATTAAAATAATAAATATCAGCACTGTGTACATTGCACATATTTCAAATTATCTGTAATACCTCCAGTAAGTGCAGCTGGGCAATTTGTGAAATTTCAATACCGATTAATATCTAAAAACTAACTCAAGGTCCGTTTGCCGGCGCTTGCCGGCGATGGCGATGGTATAAATTAAAAAGTAAATATTAAAATACATTTGGTTATATTCGCATTATAAAAAGAAAATTTAAAAAATCTAATATCGAATTACTGCAAGAGTTTGGTTCCAAGTTTGGATTTACCACATTTAAAACCCACATCTGGGTGACGAATTTAAGAATACGGAGCGTCACCATTCCTATCCATCCCGTTGGTGTCGTAAGAGCCTATTAAGGGAGCAAACTACTCAGGACAATAGCAATGCAAAGAAAAGAAAAATTTAACACAAACCCTGTTCCAACCCGTCTGGCCAGCTTGGTATAATAGGCCAAAACCTCCTTTTTAAGGAGGTTTCTGTCCATTCGGTCCGAGTGGACATTATCCTCCCGGGCCCTTTCTGCCGCCTCCTTCTGCGAGATGACGTCTTCGCAAAAGGATGCGACCGCGGTAAACAACTATCACTACCGGCCATGGAGCGTATGAAGGCGAGCGAGCGAGAGATCTTCCCCGATGACTGCAGTGAGGACCCGACGCTGCGACGCCCAAGCCGGGCAAATTGCCAGCGTGTGCTGAGCCGAGTCGAGATTCAATTCTCTCCTAGGGACCATGTGCAGACCCTGCCCGAAGTGCCCGGAAAGGACGTGTGTCAGTCGGAAGGAAAGGTCCCGTGCTGAAGCGCTGAAAACCAGCACGTGGAGCCCAATATGCAGTTTAATATAATACAGTCTGTATGAAATTAGCTGGTTACCGGAGCTTTCATAAAAATGACTGATGTTTGTATTATTACGAGTATCTCAGACGATTATCTATTGTCAAACCTATTGACAACCTAACTAACGGTATTATTTGCTTAACAGTAAATATCAGTGAGAGTATTTTAATTCTATGGTGATTACCTACGCGCCTGACAAAATGTTAGAACAACCGAATAACGTGACTTGCCTCGTTTCATGCGCTCAGGTTCATTAACCAGCTGATTAAATATTTGTTTGCCACACGCTCAGTTATTTCAAGTTTATTTTTCTTCAAATTAAAATGACACCAAGCGGGAAGAATATCCTCCCAAACAGAAAACACAATTACCCAAATCGGTTCATAAATGAGAGATTCACAAACACAAAAGAAAAAATTCAGAAGAGAAGGCTCTTCTTTAATAACAGATACCAATACATAACAAGCGGTAGATTTTTTTTTATTCACAAAACCAACGCAACTATATCCAAAAAATAATAAATACGACTAAGAAATTTTTATTCCTAAATGCCCGAATACAAAAAAAAGAATTATGTTATGTCGCATACCAACGCGTTCCATAATGTCGCTACAATGAACACGCGATATAGCGAACATGCATGTGCTACGAGATGACCTCAATTTTCATGTGCGGTGACCCGTCAGTCTACCTTAAATGCCACCTCATCTATGCCAGCTGTACTAGTATAGTGCAGGGCTAGCTCCGATACAAGATGCGTACAATGCACTTTACATTATAGATTTAAAACGCGATGTACCTATTCTGAGTAAGGAAACCATAATCAATTAATAACAATGCCTTTTAATTCGACACATACAACATGTTTGTAAAAAAAATCCTCTGTAAATATATGCGTAATTAACTTAAATCTTGTGTATGATAATTTTGTGCTACGCGAAGTAGTAAAGATACTTCCTTCCTTGGCACCTTCCTTACTACCTTCCTTGGCAGTCGGGTAAAAGGAGGTGATCGTTATTATTTTAGCCTTTGTGGTGTCAATGTGATAGTCATCCAATACATTGGTTTGGAAGATACGAGGTAATATTTTTTCTTTCAAACAAACGTTAGTAAAAAAATATTACCTCGTATTTTCCAAATAACTTGATGGATTTCGACCGTCAAGGTATTGGTTTCTCAAAAACCCAAGTGTCCTTAGTTAGAAGTTTAGAAAGAAAAAACAAAATGGCGTATTTTTGGCTCAAAATAGTAATAGGAAAGCAAAAAAAAACCTATCGAGTAGGGTATTAAAAGGGTATTACGAAAATATATATAAGTTATATATTAAAATTTATTAAGGAATAATTAATAGGTCTACAAAGTTTTTGATAGTTTAATAACCTCCTCTTTTCTGTTTTTGAAGTCGGTTAAAAATAGGCAGTGTTTAAATTCGGACCTCTTGTTGTTTCGGTTTCTTTAGTGCATTACTTTTAAATTGTATTTTTGCAGTAGGAACTTTTATTCTTTTAATTAGATAGGTAGACTTGTTTAAAAATAACATTCCATTATAGGTACCTACCTACTCATTCATTATTATTACTTAAGCATTCTAACTTGATTTTTTAACCATAATCTTGTATGCACATTAATAGTAACGTCAAAATTTGTGTATTTTGGAAATTATTAAAATTAATAATTAAGAACAAAAACATGGTCGTCCGGTAGGGGTGTCCGAGGAGATTTTCACACGGAAAAAAATAATAGAAAAAAGAAGGATAGGCAGGGAAACTTGATGGAACAGCAGCAGAAAAATGGTTTATTGGGAATAACTACAAAACAACATACATGGGTGAATTGAGTTAAAACAACACTAGAGAAGCAAACCTCATTATCACACGTCGAAAAAAGTGTAACCACTTTTGAACTTTGACGACGTAGCTTTGATACCACTAAACATTTGAAAGTAAACATATTTATGTCTCATTTACACGCGAGACAAGAACAATAGCATCGCTCGGATTAGACAAAGACAAAGATATAACTTTACGATGGTGGGCCAGTGTTGACTACCGTATGAAATTTTACCCATAACAACTAAGAAACAATTTTTTTTTAAAACAATTTTGTAATAAAATAAATTAATTTAAATATTCTAAATAATATATTTCGAATTGAATAGAATAGGTATAAATAATAAAATAACTGGAAATATTTGGTTAAAAGGGTTTATATTCAGTGTAAAATAAAACTGCGCTGTGAAGCATCAGTTTTGTATACAATTGTCTTTTAGACTCTTTTTATAAGTTTGTGTGGATATTTTACTTTCATGATACAATCTTATTTTAACGTATGTAAAAATAATAGCATTTAATAATAAAAGTGAATGATCAACTTGTACTGATAATAAATAATCCCCAGGGTGTATTGCAAATTCTATTATAATTTAAAAAACAAATTAAAAAAAAAAAAAATATTTTTATTTTATAAAAAAAAATATTTGTTTATTTACTTTTTTATTTTATATTTTTATTTTTATGATAAACATTTATTATTATTATTATTATTTTGTACAATTATTATTTAAAATTTATAATAAATTAAGAAAAACAATGAATTAATTTTTTTGTACAAAAGTCTCCAGCACTGCGAGCTTGGCACTTCTACCAAGCTCGCAGTGAACGTTCAACGGGTCCCTAAAAAAAGGGATTGGTCCAGCCCTAGCAACTACCGTTCTTCCTATATTTTATTATTATTGGCAAAATGTTTAAAAACAGTATAAAGCATATTATTTCATAAATTATAAATTCTCCCACTAATGTGGGAAAACCAAAATGATTTTTTAATGGTAACACTGATTCTAGATTACAATTATCAGTGTTTTATTTCAATTATAGCCTTATTTACGATATTATCAATACAAAAACCATAAACTTACACGTGAAAAGTAATTCCGCATGATTTATTAATGTTTTGTGACCTTAAATCGCATTCTTTCACTACGCATTTAGCCATTTTGGCGATTGTTACTGTCATGTGTCGCTATGTTCAACTCGGTTGACGCCACATTGAATAATGAATTGACGTTTGCTACGCATATGCCTGTGGACATATGTACAGTAGCAACGATTTTAGGCGGTAATTACTCATCTATGTAAGTATTATATCAATGCATGGGTGCATGTTGCATACGTAGGCTACGTAGCACAGGCTGGTTGAAGCGATATCAAAAAATTATGCTTAGGGGCATCGTCTCACGGTCACTCACTGTGATTTTAGATTATGGGAACGTTGTAAGAGCATTTATCTTCAGAACTTGTGCAACTACTGACCTCGTGTAAAATTTAAAACTTTGTTAAAATAATTGAATTTTTGCCGCCACAAATACAACACTTTATTCTTGTCTATGAGTTACTACAGCTTAATAAGTAATTGTTTTTGCAGTATTTTCTTGTTCGTTATTTCAGAATTTAACAGTTGCTAGATAACTATTGCTTTCTTTATTTTGAAATAATACATAACTATTATTAAAAAATGTAATTATTGAAGTTGGTCTAGTAATAGATATTTTTATATCTTACAGTACCAAATAATAAAAAGTATTGTGTAATTGCTGAAGCATACGGCTATAAATGCTTGAGATGTGGTTCTTTATAAAATAAAAATAAGTAATCTATTGACACTATAAAGTTCAGCCGAAAACAAAGCGTTTTAAGGAATAAATAACTGTAATAATAATGTAATGTATTACTATTAAGTATGAGTTCTGACACTTTTAAAATACATAGTAGATTATTCATACAAGCACCCATCAATCAAAATTTATCGATGTACAAAAATCTTACCAGCTAATTGTCATACCTTTCTTTGTTACGTAATGTGAGTTAAGAAGGTTCTGTAGAAGGAAGAAAGTAAGCAGGTAGAGTTAAATTCCAGTAATAGTAGTTATGGCTAGGGCTTGATTGGTAACTACCATATTTTTTCTATTTATTTAACTGGCTCATCAATAATTGTAAACACTGTTAATCAGTTAAAATAGATTTTGCAGTCAGTATGAACTAGCAGAATGTTACAATTACTTATAGGTAAGCACCTCATGCACTATCTATTACGCTATACGCTTAAACAGCTGAACCGATTTGGATGAAATTTGGTATAGAGAGAGTTTGAGTTCCAGGAAAGGACATAAAATAGTTATTATCCCAGAAATCATCATTTAAAGGGAATAAAATGGGAGTTGAAGTTTGTATGGGGAATCAATAACCACTGAACCGATTTAGATAAAAGGTAGGGAGATAGTTTGAGTTGTGGGGTAGGACTTAGGCTACTTTTACCGCTATAACCGACATTCACATAGAATGGTTGAGTATGCAACGAGAACACTTTTGCGAAGTGGAGGATGCAGGGGGGGTGATAGGGAAACGAGGATATCTAGCTGGAGCTTGGGACTTTATTTTGCCTAAAAGTTGTGGACAATTTATGTTATGTCCCTGAAGTTTGTGTAGAGTCTATTATATCAGTGTCAATTTCCCTTCATATGATTTAATCTTTTTAGCTACACCAGAGGTATATGCTAGGTGCCAGAATAACCTCTTTGTGGCACTTTCAGGTTCTTAATACAGGTTTTTAAAAGAATTTTGATTTTGTTACATCTAAACTTAACAGTATTTCATAAGATGAAACCCTTATTTTTTAGCATTTATGTCACCTTATTTTAATCAGATTTGTAATTAGTAGATTTGTAATTTCTAGCTGGCAGCACTGATTACAGTGAAAGTAAAAGTTTGAGCTCTATGGTCAGTTACTAATGGCGTGTCTTCCTGTTACACACGGTAAATCGTCAAAATGGCTAAGAAAAAAGGCGACGAAAAAGTGAACCATGCCCCTCAAAGTGATAATGAAGAACCGAATTATGACGAGGAGCCTGATTTTGACGATCCCGAGGGTTTCGTTGACGATATTCCTGACGAAGGTGGGCATTTTCTGTCACAAGTTCAACCGGCCATATGCGTCACCCACGCATTTTGCAGCTTTTCATTTATATTGCTACTATTTTTATCACAATTGTTAAGTGTAGTGTGCGATAAATAGTTAGTTTGTAATAATCTTTGGTAAATAACATTAAGTTTTTGATGTATTCTTCATGTCATAAAAATCTAACCTAACTTTGACGTTGCAGAGTTGTTGGCCGATCTCTTAGAACAGAAACCTAAGGAATCCGATAGTTATGAAAATGTAATCGTAGTCGACGGATGCCCGCAAGTCGGGCCTGAACGATTAGAGAAATTGCAAAGTGTCATAAACAAGATTTTTAGTAAATTTGGAAAGATCGTCAACGAATATTATCCAACCCAGGAGAATGGAGTCACGACTGGCTACATTTTCTTGGAGTACAGTAATCCTCAAAATGCCGCCGAAGCTGTAAAGGCCACAAACAACTGTAAATTAGATAAACAACATACATTTTTAGTGAATCTATTCACTGATTTTAAAAAGTAAGTACTAGTAGTAAGTAACAATAATTCTGATGTTACTAAAGTGTTCAACACTATAACAACTAATATTGTTGACTGATTAAATAATGGTTGTTTGTTGCATTAAGAAGTGAGATCCATTTGTTTGGTATGCAAATGAAACAAAAGAATTTCATAACCACAACATATGGTATTATTATATATCCATACTAAAATAAAGTTATTCAATATTGCAATCATTCTAAAGGACAGTTAAACATGTCATTTTTAATTTCAGGTATTCAGATATCCCTAAAGAATGGGAACCACCTGCACCACAGCCATTCAAGGTTCAATCAGACTTACAATGGTATCTGATGGACCCTGATGCATATGACCAGTTCTTAATTGGTATTGGAACTGGTGTAGCGCTACAGGTTTGGCAGAATACCTTGCCAGAGCCTATGCTGCTTCAAGAGAGACCTGTAAGTAACTTTTTTAAAAGAAACATAATAAATTATTATCTTGTTCTAGCTTTTAAATGATATAGTATACTTAAGTATAGTAATAATAGTACTTGGAGCGAATGTGTAAGTATGATAATTAACAGGATCATGGTTTAGGTATAACATTTATTTGATTTGCCTGAAATTCAGTCTCAATTACACTGGCTGTAGTCATAGACTAACTTAAACTCAAATTCAGTATACACAACTAAATATGATTGAACTTAAAGCATTGTGATATGTTTGAAATTGCATTTTAGCCTTGTATACATGTAATTCATGTCAAGTTATGTACATAGTGGATAATGTAGTCTGAATCAACTGTGCATTGCAATTGTATCTGTATTTAATGGCTACCATGACTTTTTATTTAAGGTCCCTAACAATGAGTTTTTAGAGTAATATGAATGATGATGTTAAATGAGTTTCTCATCTTGTTAATTAATGTATTAGTATATATTACTATTACCCCCATTGCACAGATGGCTTAGTGGTTTAAGCGGTCGCCATGCTGCTTCCTACAATGCCGAGTGTTGTGGGTTCAAACCCCACATGGGACGACACTTTGTGTGTTCCACAAATTGTTGTTCTGAGTCTGGGTGTTCTTTATGTCGGTTTCATGTATGTTTGTAAAGTCTCCCGCTACATATGATTTGTTCCTAATGCGGGAGTTGTCTTTTAGAAAAAAAAAGACTTGCTAATTAAATAAACTTTTTTTAACACACAAGAACAATAAATAGATGTAAAGATTTGGTCAAATATTAATATATATTGAATAAAGTACAAATTTCTCAAAATCTTTAACTAAGAAGTGTAACAATGATATAATTCTTGTAATATTTTAACAGAACTGGACTGAAACCTATGCAGCATGGTCACCTCTCGGCACCTATCTTGCCACGTTCCATTGGCGGGGCGTGGCGCTCTGGGCGGGCCCCAAATTCTCCCAATTCCAGAAGTTCTTCCATCCGGAGGCTCGCTTCATTGCCTTTTCACCATGTGAAAACTATATTGTTACATTTTCACCCACTGGTGATAGGGGTGAAGATAAGAAGCTAATTATTTGGGATATCAGGTTAGTTGTCTTTTTTTAATTATCCATTAGTCGGACTTGTACACAACATCTATCACCATACATATATAAAAGGGTTAGGTCGCTTAGAAAATTCATAAAGTTATGCACCGATTGAGCTCCAAATTTGACGTGATGGTTTTTATTTCTTTATTGTGTCACTTTTGTTCTACTACAATTAGTAAATAATATTCCCTACAACTACATAGCTAATAACATATACCCTCATCTATATCCCTGAAGGGGTAGACATAGGTGTAGTTAACCTCCATTTTACTGTCTATACTTTTAGTCCCATTTACGTAAAGGCCGCAGTCCTAATAGGCGGGTGCACACAGACGGAGCAGTCTTACGAGGCTGTCTTGTCTGTTTCTTGTTTTGCTCAAAGGCACCTTGGTCGATTTGCGCGCGTGTTTTATTTCGTGCTTCGCTCCATCAATCTTTGATATAGATTGTTTTAGAATGAGAAAGAGATACTAAATTTTTTGCCATGATGCCTTAACTCTCAGCTCTCAACGGAGTGAACGATCAAATAGCTCAGGCTTGCCTTGCGCAGCAGCCTCGAGATGATACTGAGGCTGCCGCGCTCGGTGCGGGACAGTTTCCTCGCGAGGCTCTCGCTGTGTGTGGGCCCGCCTATTGCCGTAAATTGGGCACTCTTTAAGATGTATATGAGAGACTCGGGTGTGTAACGGATTCGGGAGCATATGCAGAAGCTCAAGCAGATCTGGGTTGAATAATTGCCACTCGAACTAGAAGTTAATAATTCTAGCTAATTAATGAACATAATACATAAGAAATATTTTCTAAAATTGTTTTTTTATTCTAACAGATTACAGGTTTATACTACCGTTATCTAGGTGTTAGTTTGATGAAATACAATTTCTCAACCAAAATTACATAATCTTATTAAGTGGTATAATTATTTTAACCTGCATTTTAGTCAGAGGTTTTATTTGTACTGTAAATTAATCTAATTATGCTTTTCCTTTTGTAAGATTGTAGATTTAGATTCAGTCAGAATTTATAGCTATGTCAAGTTTCTAAAACAATCTAATATGAATATTGATATTTCACATTAATTCTTAAGGCTCAAACTTGTCTGTTGAGGCTCTTCTACAATATTATTAAACACTAGCTGACCGTCTGCGTCTCTCAATAGTAATAAATTTTCTCCGTTTTTGAAACATTCTTCATTGGTGCTCCGCTCCTATTGGTCTTAGCGTGATGATATATAGCCTATAGCCTTCCTCGATAAATGGGCTATCTAACACTGAAAGAATTTTTCAAATCGGACCAGTAGTTCCTGAGATTAGCGCGTTCAAACAAACAAACAAACAAACAAACAAACAAACTCTTCAACTTTATAATATTAGTATAGATATATTGCTACAAGTATGTGTCGTTCATACAGAGCCAGCATAGCCAGGCACATGCCTTCACTTGGCTGCCAATAACTAATAGTTTACACATTGAAAGTTAAAGAAATATAAACTCAAAGTCGGCAGATATAAGAGGTAGGCTATGCAGGGAGTGGCACATGATTAGTGAAATAATCTGAATTAAACTTTATTGTATCTGGGCCAGAGTACTCATTGTATTGATAAACAGGGGTTTTACATAGTGGCACTTATGTACTGATACTGTTAGGTATGCTGTGGCTTAACCAAGGCAAACAGTTTCTGCAAGATAATAATATGTATTGTATTAACATATATGTAAAGGTCAGTAAATAAAGCTATAATTAAGACACCTACACAAACAGTTATCTTGCATTAGGTATTCAACTCTTCAACAACATCAGGCAAGAGCCAGTGACAAGCATACAATGTGTGTTGAATTTTTACTATCTGCTTATATATACAACTTTTTTTTTTTATTGATGCCACACTATAGTTCTTTCTGTTTTTGGGTATTTTTTGATCACAAACTCTTAAGACATTCACTGGGTGGTCGTAAAGTTTAAAATTTATAGGTTGTATTTCAAGTTTTTTTCTCTGTAGTTGCATACTGGTGGTAGTTGCAGACCAATATCTTTTAAATTGATCATTTTCAGACTTTATTATATAATTAATAGCTACAGCTCTTAAAACAAATAAGATGTATTTTTAGAAGCCTCATGATATATTGCTGGGGTTATGTTACGAAGACCAGGCAGAGCGCCATATTGAATACAATATGGCGCTCTAAACGACATAAAGCCATGTCAATTCAACTAGATTTTATTTTAACGTTAAATACAAAAAAATATAAATTAAAACCTGGCTATTTAAAAATCACGTTCTTAAAACTATGAAACAATAATATTCCTGTCGGAAATTCTGACTTACAACTTATACAATATTTGTTATCTAATGAGCAGAGCTTACACACCATTAATATTCATATAGATACTAATTAAACTGTCAAAAAACGGATACGGTAATAACGATACGATAACGGTAAGCGTACACAGATGTGTATTTCATACAACGAAAGTTGACAAACAGGTGACCACACTACACCACTAGCGGACGTATCTGGCGCACTGCCAACTGATTTTCCAAAGGAGTCTTGACTATGGAGTATTGACTATGGTTTCTATGTCAGTAGTTTTAGTAATTGTTTTAATTCCTAGATTATTTCCTTCGTTTTATATTTTGTGATATTGTCAGCATATTGCATACACCACCTGACTGACTTTATCGAAAAGAACTCTTCAGTCCTTGTCTTCCATTTTTAAATTTAAAACTAACTATTTGCAGATCTATTTTTACCTTACGTACCAACAACATTAATATACACAAATGTGAAAATACTCCCCACTAAACTTATATTTTTCTCTGTCCTTTACTCTAAACAGAACTAATACACTATTAAAAAAGTATTCTCTATTCATAACTTCTTGAAATTTCAAAAAAATCTTAATTTCGTCAGTTAAGAGTTATTAGCATATTTCATTGTAGATAAGTGAATTAAATTATTTGTAAATGTAAGCTATTTAGTGATTTACTGTAATATTATGATTGACTAGCTGACCCGCGCAACTTCGTCTGCGTCTCTCGATAGTAATAAATTTTCTCCGTTTTTGAAACATTCTTCATTGGTGCTCCGCTCCTATTAGTCTTAGCGTGATGATATATAGCCTATAGCCTTCCTCGAAAAATGGGCAATCTAACACTGAAAGAATTTTGCAAATCGGACCAGTAGTTCCTGAGATTAGCGCGTTCAAACAAACAAACAAACAAACTCTTCAGCTTTATAATATTAGTATAGATTAGAAATAAAAGAATTAGGCTAATCTATAAAGCAATATAACTGTTTTAATGATAAGTGGTGTCATAGCTTGTTTTCAAGTAAATTGCATCTAAATTATTTTGAAATTTAGACACCCATTAAATGAAGAAATCATGAAACCATTGAAAAGAGGTTGTAAACGAATGCTACTTAACACCATATTGGTGTGACAGAGGTATTTTATTTTAGTAACAAATATTTTTTTATTTCACAGAACAGGTCAAGAAAAGCGCAGTTTCCCTCCACCAGATGAATACGTCACGTGGCCGGTGTTCCGTTGGAGTAAGGACGATAAGTATTTCGCTCGATTAGGGGCTGATATGCTTTCTGTCTACGAAACTCCTAGCTTCGGTCTACTTGACAAGAAGTCTATCAAAATCCCTGGTATCAGGTAAGCTCATTTACTTTTCTTATTTCTATTTTATTGAGAGAAAACTTTTTTGTTGCTATGACAAATACATTAGTATTTTTCATAGCAACAAAAATCATTGGTTTTATTTTGTATTAAACAGCTTTTGCCTGCTTGTTTTCTGGATGAAAGGATGAAAGTGGAATAAATAAGCCCTTAATTTGAAATTTAGGATTAGGATGTTTATTGTAATGGTGAATAACATTATTTTAAAGTTTAATTTTATTTGCAGAGACTTCAGTTGGTCACCCACAGATAACATTCTAGCATATTGGGTGGCTGAAGACAAAGACGTGCCAGCAAGAGTAACACTTCTAGAGTTACCGAACCGCACAGAAATTCGCTCTAAGAATCTGTTTTCTGTTGCCGACTGTAAGATACATTGGCAGAAGAGTGGCGACTATCTATGCGTAAAAGTAGACCGTTATTCTAAAGTAAAGAAAGACAAAAATGAAATCAAGTACTCTGGCATGTATTATAACTTTGAAATATTCCACATGAGAGAAAAAGAGATTCCGGTTGACTCTGTAGAAATTAAGGAGCCTATCCAAGCCTTCGCATGGGAACCAGTTGGATCTAAATTTGCCATTATTCATGGAGATACCGCAAATATGTGTATTAGTTTCTACCAAGTGAACACTGGTCAGGCGCCTACGCTGTTGAGGAAGTTCGAGCGGCAAACATTCAACCACCTGTTCTGGTCACCATCCGGGCAGTTCATCGTTGTAGCCAACCTTGGTCTAACTGGCGGTGCTTTGGAGTTTTTGGACACAAATGACTTCACTATCATGAATGTCTCGGATCACTACCAGATGTCGGGCATTGAATGGGACCCGACTGGTCGGTTCGTAGTGACTGGGGTTTCTTCGCTCAAGAGCAAGATTGATACTGGTTACTACATCTGGTCATTCCAAGGGAAAATTATCAGGAGGTTTGTATTTTTTAGTATTTCATTTTTATACAATTTATATAAGTAACTAATTGTTTTCTCAATTCGTTTAGTATTTTATGTGCGTGGAACTAATTTTAAATACAGCATTTGTTAGAAAATGAGTCCAAATGTGACGAAATAAATTGTGTCATACCAAAATTCACATAAAACCAAACACAAATACTGCATCATGCTACAGCTTTAGGTATGGCAAATTAATTAATTTAGTTATGTAAGGCTTCTTTTTAAAAACTGATTTATTTAAAACATGCAACAAAGAAGCTTTGTCTTTCATGCTTTTTTCCTTCTCTGTCTTACAATAGTTGGAGTAAATTTCTTATAGAATTAGTAAAGTTTAGTTAGCGACATAGTTCATTTATTTGTCTAAATAAAATTCATTTTTTCATACAGGGTAATGAAGGAGAACTTCGCCCAGTTCAACTGGCGGCCACGGCCCCCCACGTTGCTCTCGGAGAAGCAGCAGAAGGACATCAAGAAGAACCTCAAGAAATATTACTCACAATTCGAATCAAAGGATCGTATGCGCAGTAGCAAAGCTAGCAAGGTATTTTTTATTTCCTCTTTTGTTATTCTTCATTTTATGTATCACTAGCGTAAAAACATTAATAGTTAAGAGTTTTTATGAAACCATGATTGATATTGCATAAATATTATTAACGTAAGTTATAATCATTACTTAAAAGTTACCTATTAAAACACATCTATAGAGATGAGATCTATAGACGTATTATTCACTAGCTTCTGAAGAAGCAGTAAACATATTATAAATCTATTCCAAGCACTACCTTCGACACTGCAATAACGATAAATGAAAAATTTTTTTTTATTAAAATTGTATTATTTCTCAGGAATTGGTGGCGAAGCGTACTGAACAAATGAAGAAGTACATCGAATATCGTGAGCTGAAGCAGCAAGAGTGGAACGAGCAAAAGCCGCGTAGGCTCGAGCTCAGAAATTGTAAGTTATATTTTTATGATAAAATTATTGCCTAATTGCCTTGTATGACTGCACTGAAAGGATACGACTGGTATTGCGATACGGCCATTACAATCATTCTATTTTCAGTCCTAATATTCTGTAGTATCTGTCATTGTTAAACTAACTAAACTAAGTTCTATGAACATCCATATTATTTATATGTTCACAAGTAGTTGTTCTAAGCCTAGCCAACTGTTTGTATTTTTAGAAAAAGTATTAATATTATTAGTAGTTAACATTTACACTTTAATTTTTTTATTCTATGAAAATATTCATCGCCTTTCCAAAATATTTCCTGTTTAACTTTTAATCAAAAACATTCTGGAATTTGTCAATAGTTATTACTTTGCTACTGTGGGGTGAGGACCTGGTGATTTATTAAACAGGTTATGCCTATAATAGACACCAGCTCCTTGCAGACACTTGTGCAATATTTTTTATAAATTTTATTTCCTTCCTTCACTTCAATTGTAATTAAAAATGTTTTATTATTAATTTAATACAAAATAGAAATATAATGTTACCTTTTTTTCCAGATGTGGACACTGATGGTCTCGAGACCGACTCAGTGAATTCGGTGGAAGAGGTGGTAGAATTTTTCGTGAAAGAAGAACAAACGGTCATCGAGTAGTCGTCATCCCGTTCACACGTTCGAGGTCGGGGTTCAGTCGCCGACCTCTTTTGCGATAGTCCGTGGCAACGGATATAATTCACACATTTTTAATAAACAGACCACTCAGTATATAAGTTTTTTTGTACCTTCATCCCGCTAAAGTCACAACGATATTTTATACGCGACGTGTGCATAATGGTCAGTGTAGAATTTCGGTTTATAAATTATTCAATAGGTAATGTTAATAGAAATCATATTAAATTGAAATGTTACAAATGGAAAACCGGCTTTTAATTTGTATTTATTTTTGTTACATTTAATTATAAGGTGATGGTATGAAATAAAATATTGATGAACATCGGAAACGGAATATTTGAATTATTTTTAAACACTGATATGGGCTAAAATATGCATATGTAAGACAATTAGCTGTTGGCTACTGCGATTGAAGAGTCTACACGTAATTATTATTTATTTGATATTTTTGGACCGTACAAACAAAAGTTTTACTTATACACAAAATCATCGCAAATCTGTTAAACTCGAATAATTGAATTCGAACTTTTGCCGCTCGGGCAACTGACCACCGTATGGTTTCATGACCTCTATGTGTATCGAAATATCTACACAGTGATAGAAGTAGACGTGAAAAGACGTACATAATATTAAACGGAATATCCATCCCACCATACAGGGACATAGGCAAGCAGCTTTTGGTCCAAGACAGCAGTTTGTTTCTCATTAAAAATGTTATATTGTTAAACTAACCTAACCATTGCACCGATTTTAATCATACTTGGTATGGAGATACTTCGATTCTTCAGGAAGGACAGAATATATTTTTTTATCGCGCAGCTAACACGCGGGTGGAGCCACGGGCAAAAGTTAGTCTTTAATATACTTAATACGTACTTCAACTATACAATAGCATAAGGTGGGTTAGCTGTTCTCCTCACTTAGGTTCGCCTATGAATATGTACACCTAAACAAAATGCGATCAAACGATGTACAGAATGAAAAGAAAAATTATGCTAATAGTAAAAACGGAATAATTTGGTACCTACCTAATTAAGATAACTTATAAAGTACTTATATCAAACCATTCAAGCTGTTATTGTAACAAAATGGTATTCACAATGTGCAAAGCTATTGTAGGATTCAGGACACAAGGTTTATTTTCCAAATGGTGAATCAAGGTTTGATGTTTGGCGCTTTTATAGTTTGCTATTTATCAGTTTGAAGGATGTTATGGTTATAAACATGTCAAGGAGTGTTTGGTTCGCAGGTAATTTATGGACCGATTTGTAGTTGTGTGAACAAGCGTAGGTGCAAATCTTTGTAGAATGTAGACTGTCGACATCATATTGAGTGTCATACACACAAGATCGCACATTAAAAATTACAGTGACGTAGTAATTTTTTTTTTTTCTGTAGAGGTGTCTGAACAATAGAGCCAATGCATCAAAAGAAATGTTTGCGGTTACAGAGAAAACTAGTTATTATCTTAATAATATCACAGTGATGGACGGATGGCTTAGATGTTTAAGCGTTGCTTACTACTACGCTGAGTGTTGTGGGTTCGATCCCCACATAAGACGACACTGTGTGATCCACAAATTGTTGTTCTGAGTCTAGGTGTTCTACGTATCCGCCTTATGTATGTTTACTTTACAAACATACGATATATTCCTAATGCGGGAGTTGTCTCTAAAAAAATGAAAAAAAGTGATGCGTCCTGTCCTTTCAGTTCTTCCCCCCTTTAGATAAACTGTAAATAATAATAGTTGACAGCTCTATAGCTGTAGCAGGCGTTGGTTCCTTGCGGATCCGACACAGGTGATCTCCTGCGTCATCCAAAATGAGAGGGTGCCGTGTTTCCTCTCGAGCCAATCCTCCATAAAGGGTATTACCGCCCCTAAAATGGCGTGCCCGGGGATTGGTTGTCCAGTTCTTTCCCATGAATACCCGGCGGAGTTGGGAGTTCTGGTCCTGGATTTCTCTTGTCCCGGGTTCCTAAGCTAGAACGAGATCCAGATATCTCATTGAGGACTTGATGTCGATGCGAGTGCCACCTACTATGGGGCTGGATCTCTCAGGTGACACCCTTCGAAGCTTTGTGCCCAGATTTGTACAAAATCACTTCGGGATCCAACCGCCCTATCCGGAATCCTGTCCACTCAATGATGACGGCCTTACGCTACTCTTTTCCGTCTCTAAATCACCACCTCAAATAAACCACCCTCTGAGGGTGATAGAGGCACGCCTTACTCTGGGCGCTCAGGCCTTCTGCCCACACCGGTGCAACATATAGTGCCATTGATTGTACAACCCTGTCCTTTACTAAAACTCATAGAGTAGGTAATCTCAATTACAGCTGCAGTTGTAGCGACTACATTTTTGTGTACAGGCACTAGCCTCAATCTTTCTAGTTATCAGAAAAATAAAGCGAAGAAGTGGTGGCAAAGACGTAATATAAAGCCCAGATGTCAACCTTAAACATCTAAATAGAATTAAATAATTGTTTATATTGTGCAAGTATGTGCATACTTACTAACACAGTTGTTTATTATGTTAGGCATTTATTTTTTCATTGTTTTAAAAAATTATGCGCGCGCGCCCCTTTGTAACCTCCCGCCCATAGGCACGTGGTTACTTTGCCTTAGGGATAATGCGCCACTGAGTTGCTGGCAGTTTTACTTGGTAAAAAAGGATATGATAATGAGCAGAGTTATGTGTAAACTAAATGTCCGTGTAGTGACGGATTAAGAATACGGAATGTCACTACCCCAATGTGGGTGTCGTAAGAGCCGACTAAGGGCGCAAAACAACGCAGGACACCAGCACTGCAAAAAGAAGGAAAACTTGACACAAACCCTATGCCAACCCGTCTGGCCAGCGTGGTATAGTAGGCAAAAACCTAAGGAGAGGCCTATGTCCAGCAGTGGACTTTTAAAGGCTGTTGATGATGATGATGAAATTGAATAAAAAGAGCCCACGTAAGAACTGTCAACGGGAATTTATTTAGTAAATTGCCACTGCAGAAATGAGTAAACATAATACCCAATGTCCTTGAGATTAAACTCTTGCGTTTAATTTATTTTAATGTTTAACGGTAAGCAGCTTTCATTAAGAAGCATTTTGGTCTCTAAATTTCCGGAGCTCTCATCCCTTAATACCGTTCAACTTCCGGATCCCGGAATCTGCGACAAATTTACCTGTGGGAAGCTATTTAATAAATCAAATAGTAAGATGCTCCAAAGAGTCGTATTGTAGTTATCTTGTATTCAAATTTATTTGTTTGCAAAATGTGGTATATAGGATTTTAATCGATTTACATTCCTACCACGGTCTCACAGAAAACCAGTGTTTAGCAGTTAGATGTTTGTCAAAAAGTGATTGAGGTTTCTGGTTACCGAACTATTATTATTAAGTATGTATATCAAAATAAATAAAATTAAAGTGTCCGTTTGTAAGGTCAAAATAATAGGTTTTTTCATGCTATTATTAGCACTATACCTATCTATGCCTACAAACCAGTTAATTTTTTTTGTCTGCTTGTCTGTCTGTTTGTTCCGTGTAATCTTCAAAACGGTTTTGATAATATTTCACTACCAGGTAGCTGTCTATATAAGGAGTAATTTAGGCTATTTTTCCTCTCAGGCATCCCTATAAAATATTCCCGGTCTGGGAATCGAACCCAAGGCCTCATCGACTGCAGTCGCGTGCCGTACTACACCACTCAGGCAGCGCTCTTCAAATTGCACGCGAACGAAGTCACGGGTACCAGCTAGTCATAAAACGAAGTGAGGAGAGTGGCACAGCCAGTTACAGGTATGTGAACCTGACCTGATATGGCTTCAATTGCCCACACATCGTATACTTACAAGCAATATTATTTTTGTACGCCATGACTTAAAGACGGCTTTCCGTGTGTCGATTTAGTGCGCGGGAAAGGTAAGCTCAGGATACCAAAATTTACATACCTGCAATAATAAAGAACAAAAATATTTTTACGATTGAGAAATAATAATGTCAATGAAAGAACAATCACGAGTCACGTGACAAAACTTTCAGTAGGTAAAATTATTAAGATTCCAACAGGAATGCCCAAAAAAAAAAACATGCGCGTCTCGGGACACATGACAGAAGTGATGACTTAAACTGATCTACCGTTGCCGTATGCGTGAGAGAAAGGCAGACAGACTGGCGCCGTAACGCGTTACGTAACGAAGCGGTTTACCCTCCCATAAGAATTTATCACTTTAAAAGCAACAGACATAATTATTCAAAGTGATATATGTTAGTTGTTAAGATGTCGATTTAATAAATACCTTTTCAAAATTAATATCGACTTTAATGCGCAAGCATTGTAACGATACATGACAATGTTGGCACAATTATTGTAATTTTTCATTTTCACCTTTAGGTGGAACTTTTTCGACCAATTTGAAAGAGACCAAACAAAAGTATACCTTTTCAAATGATAAATAATTTTCAAATCAGCTAAATTTTGAAGTCTGGTAAAACGTGCGTTATCAGGTAAGAAAAAATTACAATCGTTTAAAACATACTAGTAAATGTTTTTAAAATTTAGCTTTTAAGCTACCCTTACGATCGGTGGTGGATATTTTTCACTAACACACTTTTTTTAAACTACAAGATTTTTAAAAAGTGGATTTTTAAATTGAGGGATACAAAGTTCAGATAACTTTTAGGATCCGCAGGATAAAGGATTAAAAAACCTTGAACTTTTTTTTTAAGGATCCGCAAACATTTCCTGATTATCCAACGTATATTTACTGTTATTTTTCATTTACTATAACTATTACGTTTTCTAAGTAAACAACCCATGCACACACTGCCAAATGTTGCTAGTTATAGAAATTTATATGTATACATTCAATATAATCCGGTTATACAACAATTCTGTACACGGGGGAAATCATATTTTCCTGATTTTCCATCCAAATATTTGTCGTTCACAACTTACTCTTAATTTTGTCGAATAACATGTAAAT